CCTGGGAGGCGGGTAGAGCTCAGTGATCAGCCAGCATCACGTGTGTCCAAGGGTGAAAGATTCACCTCTGTTGCTCTACAAACACCACAACAATGATCTCGACGTTGAACGGAGCCTCCAAAATACATGAAGTGACACTATGGGGGTCTTTGAAAAGATTCATGGAAAATATGTATTACAAAAAAAAATTATGGATTACAATATGTTTTCACCCAAATAGGCCCGTGCTTGTACTCCATTTCCACAACTGTTTTGCACCCCCCTCACATGGAAGAGAGCTTGACTTCCTTGCCCAGCTGTCTCCACTGGGCTGCAGCTGGTAGTGCATCTGCTCTGTGTCTTATGTTTGCATGCTCAGTTCACAGCGTGTGCCTGGGACTTTACCACCTCCTAAAACAGCCCTCCTTTGGTTTTATCCTGATTTGCTGTTTCAAACTGAGACACTTCATAGTCTTTCCATTCTAAACTTTTGACACCTAGTGTCTGGTTCCTGTTCTACGCATCCATGTCTCTCAAACATGGCCCCTAGACCAGCAGCTTCGGCCTCATCTGGAGATTGTTACGGAGGCAAATTCTTGGGCCTGGCATCCTCAGACCTACTGACTCATATGAATGATGCCAGAGTTCAGAGAACACTGCTCTCCTTCCATCGGAATCCAGAGACCGGCACTATGAGAAGCTGTATTCCCACGAAACCCATTTGGCACAACGGAACCATAGCTTCCAGCGTTTTCAGTATAAGCCCATCCAGGGCTACCGTCCTTCACAGAAACTGATTTTATACTGACTGGGAATTTGCTCTACGCTGCTGGTAGTTACTAGAATATAGAGACTCTCTAAGAGAGTAAAAATACAAGGGGACCCCAGAAATCCTTGCTTGGAGCATATTCACCAACAATCTCTCTCTTTCATTCAATATGGGAGAAAACATGGCTTCTCTTTTTGCATAATGTTGAATAATTCTGAGACTCATAGTGCCTGGCTTCTAAAAACCCAGCTCCTGGCTTAGGCATAATTTACGTACATTGAGAAACCATTCCCAGGCTTGAACTCCACTTCCACGGGTCCCATTTAGAGTAGGGTGAGGAAGGGAGATGAAAGGACTTCTTTTTTTCTCTCTCTTTTTTTTTTTTTTTTTTTAGGTTTTTGTCATAGGAAATGTGTGCTCACCAAACCTTTCTCCTTCATTCCCCTCTTGGGATTTTGAGCACACATGCACATGAACCTGGTGGGACTTTCAAGCTGCTGGGTACAGGACTTGAACCTCAGTCAGCCATGTGGGAGTCCAGCACCCTAACCACCATGTCACCTGCTGACCCCAGGACGTTTTTCTTCATGGAAACCCAAGCTGGTCTCCCTCCCTGCTGTCCTTCACCCGTACTCCTTCCCTTGGATTCTGAGTTGAGGGAGGCCTGACCCAGCCAGGACTTCAAAGGAAGCCATTACCACACCCAGGAGTTCGCTTCACCTACCGCACTGGTCTGCACAGACTCATCCTCTGGTTTGGCTTTAATACCAACAACTCCATCAGCATGGCGGAAGGAGCAGTCAGCAAGAACGTCGTAAAATGACAGCTTCTGGGCCTGCAAGCCATATTTCTGCAGCCACTTCTTCGAGTCACAGGTGTCCTCTGGATTTGACTCAGTCTCAGTAGAGGTTGCTCCTGACTCTGGTTTTGGAATCACAGTTCATCAGTCACTCATACCACATGAGCCATTCATATTCCACCCCCACCTTAACATTCACCCATCTGGAACACGCACTTTTCTTTTTAACCTTTATTTAGTTCTGATCCCAAGCACGCAGATAAAGACTCTCCACTTATACAAGCAGTGTGTGTGTGTGTGTGTGTGTGTGTGTGTGTGTGTGGAACATGCACTTTGTTAGACCACAAAGAGCATATTTCATTACAGGAGCCTGTTTTCCAAAGTAGAGCTAGCTCAACAGACTGGAAAGACTTACTTTTCACTCACTTCTTCCTCTAGCAAAGTTGACTGGCCCTAACCACAGCCAACAGACCAAGGCCATGTATTGGGAGAGCATTAAACTTAGATTCAGAAGTTCTGGGTTCAAGTCCTGGCTCCATCAGTTTGGGCAAGTTGCTCAAACTTGGGTGAGTCACTTCATTCGATCTCTGAGGTTAGGCAGGCTCCTTCACTTGTACATGGGAGGTAGTCTCTGTGTGGCCTTCCTAGGTATTTTTCAGCAATTGGGTGAGAAAAGTCATGTTAAAGTGCTTTGTATTGAGAGGGGAAGAGGATTAGAGGAATGCAGCCTGTGGTGAGGCAGAATCGGTCAACTGTCAAGGCTAAAGCCTTCTGGTTACTTTGGTGAGTTTATTCCCATTCGGAGGCTGGCTGCCAGCCCTGCAGCTTCAGAAACTTCACGCATCAGTTCAGGCACCTGGAGCTGTAGTACCACTTACCTCAGTCAGGTCTGTGGGTTAAAATATAACCCAGACCCAGCTGCCCGAACATCCCCAGCCTTACGCACATTCCTTGAGTGTCTACCAGAGAGGCGCTGTGTTACCTGGGCAGGAGAAACCCAGCAGAGACGTATGCAGCTAAGTGGCTCAAAACCCCAGTGGCTACCTAAGGGAGAATGGGAGGATGGGCTATTTGAGGGCAAGTTCAGAGGAGACAGGGAGTAAAGCTGAAGTGGGACAGAGGCACTGGTGTCTGGAGCTGGCCTACACTGGGCGGGGGAGCTGACTGTGCACATCTCCCAACTCCATGCTCAGTGGTAACAACACCTACCACTGGGTGACCTACCACTGAGCACGGTGTATTTACAGTCGGGAAATCAGCACATGCTACAAATCAGGGCTTTCTGACTCCTGAGAGTGTGTTTTGAACATTCAGTTACACACCCCAGAAGGGAGGCAGGAAGGACCCTGAGCTTTTAGCCCTACTGGGACCTAGTGCACCAGGAGGACTGGGAAGAGTGCTGGGTGGGGAGATGGTTTTCATAACATGTACTATTACACATGAGGCCCCAGCCCTGCAGTTTGTTGCTTTCCACTTAGATCAACAGCTCTCAGCCCTTTGCACTGGAATTCATCCATTAGGATCTGTTTTAACTGATCTGGGGTGTGGCCCGGATTGGAATTTTTTAATATCTCCCCGGGTGACTGCACCATGCAGTCAAGCTTTGCAACTGGTGTAAGGCGAAAGAGCTTTCTCTGTTGTGTCTTGTAACCACATCAAGTTACGCTTTCACCAGACACACATGCAAGTGAAATGATGCAGCACCCACTACGAGGAAAACAAAAATATCACCCAGTTACCCATTACTGCATTCAAAAGGACATATAATTTAAGTAATACTTGAAGAAATAAAATACTTCCAAGCCAACTGTTTCCCAATAATGGGCATGGGATCTGCCCATTAATACTTCATGCGAACTATACCTCAAATCTTAACAGAACACCTTTGGAAGAATTCATTCTGGAAGCCACTGGAGTTGGAACTTCTCAAAGAAGCTTGCATCAGCTTTCACACTATAAACCAACCTGGCATCAAAGCCCCAATGCCAGCAGCTGGTTTCCACATAAGTCACAAGTGTCTTCTCCCTAATTGGGAAGCTTAGGTCAGAGGCTTCCCACACCTTCTAATCCTTGAGGTGGTCCTACATGCTCTGACATCACCAGGATGAGAAGCAACTGTTTTTTCCAGGGATATCAGACTCCTTGAAGAAACTCTTTGGGTGACTATTTTTCCTCAATTATTGCTAATTACATTCTAGATTTTTACCTCCTCTCTATTCCTATTTAGGCAGTGGTAGTCATTTTCTTTTCTCCTCCTTTTTCTTTTCTAATCAATAGTTATAGTGGGAAATAAAATCTTCACTCAGTTATTGCCATAGCAATACACATGTGATCATATCCTTCTGGGATGTTTTGGGTTGTCTTTTTTTTTTTTTTTTTTTTGAGAAAGATTTTTGCTATAGGATGTGTGTGCTCACCAGAGAGACGGAAAGCAATGGATTGCTTTCTCTTAAAAAGCTCAGTGCCCTTCATCAGTTCTAGTTTACCATAAAAGAATCTCCTGGAAACACAATCGAACCAAACCTAGTGGGTTTTCAAAGAGCCTGAGACTAACCTTTGACTCCTAGCTTCACGGAGGTGCTTCAGGGGCTATCACTTGAGGGCAGGGGGGCAGGGGCATGATGCAGGCTCTTAATTGCCATCTGCAGAAGGGGTTCTGTGATGACCCCAACGCTACCTGAACTTCCATAAAGGAAAGAAGGTGCTGCCGAAGAAGGGGCTGCTGAGCAATATTAAAAAAAAAAAAAAAAAACCACCAGGTGCACCACAGCAATA